TTTAAACCGCACAGTGCGGCCAGGTTGGAACACAATGCTATCAACATTGCCGCTGCCGCCATAAGTCAGACTGTTGAAAGCAGGTAGTGCCCGCGATTCGTCCAACAAAGTTAAATCTTCCATCACAGGTCTCGGGTCATCGAACACGAACGTACGCCATCGGCGGAATACAGCCATGGCTTCGGCGTGGATCTGTTTGTTGGCTAGCAACCATTTGGGTAGACCGATGATTGCATATCCGGGATAGTAGCGGGAAGGAGTATCGAAGTCGCGCACTGAAGCCTGGACGCAGGTCTCTTTGCTGGCGGTAGATGCGCGGGGGGAAGCGCCGAATACGTAGGTGTAAATCTGTTCTCGAAGCTCCGCTGGGAGGTCGAGAAGGAGGTTATGTGATGAGATGAGGGCTGATTTAGCCGCCGCGGTGGACTTGGATGTTTCGAGGTGGTCGAGGTTTGAGGTGTCCTCGATGCTGGCGCGGTTTGTGCATGTTGAGTTCATTGTGGGTTCTGAGTTGGCAATGAGTTGATTTGAGGAAGCCAGGAGAATTGGTAAGATGCGCGGTGTTCGCGACTTCTTAATCGGGTCACGAAGAGGGTGACCCAGGCAGCATTCGTCGCGCTTTCCTTCATTACCAGAAGAGGGCCGTGCCCGCGATCACGAGAATTTCTAGCGCTGGAATTCGGATGGTTTCGCATATAAAATCCGGTACCTCTGGATCTTCTGACCTACGCAGGACAGACAGTCAACGATCGACGCTCGCCCATCACCCAACTCGACCTCATAGCTCACTCATTGCTCGGCCTGGCTGCTACAATCGCTCCTCGCCACTCGAACCTACTGCCTGCATATCATCCAGACGACAAAATGGCCTCCGATAAGAAAGCACCACCCAAGAAACGCGCCTCGTCGCCGGTAAAAGGCACTCGCTCCTCGAAGCGTCTGATGACCAAAGCCCGAAAGGCTCGTCCTAATGTCTCGGAAATTCCTTGTCAGGAAGGAAGCGCCCTCTTGAATCTCCCACGCGAAATTCGAAACCAGATCTACTTGGAGCTACTTGATGGTCTGGATCTCACATTCCGCGTGGATACGCTCATCATTGTTGCAACACAGGACACCGAAGGTTACCTAGGCGTCCGGCGCTTGAAACGAACTAAGCGAGGTCTCCCACTATGGTCGCTGTCTAGCCAGCAGATTTGTTACGAGCTCCTAGACATGATCGCCCGCACCTACGCCTTCCAACCCTTTGGTCGACCAACATCCCCCGAGAATGAGTTGCCTGGACTACCGAACTCGCTGGTCTTCACTCCTGGTGGCGTAAGAACTGTCAAGCTGGTCCCCGGATATCACGCTCCGGAATTTTGGCTTGAGAACAAGGATATCTTTTGTGATTTGACTGCTCGTTTCCTCAAGCTGATGGACAACCTACTTCTGGAGGATGCGCGTTTGGAGATGATTTGGTACCACGTCGAAACCGAGTACTACTATAGGAACTACAAATCCCACAACCTCGCCCGTCAGTGGGAGGAAGACTGGAGAGAGAGATTTCGTAAAGTCAAGATTACTGTCGTGGTTAGGTCAGATCCTGAGAAGGGTGGCACGCCATTGATGATTATGGATGATGCGGAGAAGTGTGCAATGAGGCTTGTCGGTATGGGTGGGGCTTCATCTTGGGACGATCTGGGTCGTCTCGATGTTTGGAAGCCCTGGACGCCTCATCAGCCGGACTTGGTGTGGGTGCGACATGTGACGACCGTTGCGCGGAAGGTGGAAGAAAACGCATCGAGGAACAGCACATAACTGTGTATGGTACCTAGATCAGACACAAAGGAGTCACTGAGGCTGTATCGATAGTCGACAGACGCCTGCTGCAGTTCCAGGCAATACAGTCGTCCATATTAACGCCTCCAGGGGCTCGGTCTCCAACGGGGATATGACGCTAGCCACAACCAGTTAGCTCTATACCAATACGACGGCTACTTAAACCTCGATCCCACTTGTGAAGCCATGTCTTCTTCTCTCTACAACAATCCCCCATCGCGGCGTACGCTCCCGAGGTCGTCTCACACATTCCTGTCAGGTTCTCGCCAGATAGTAACACCTCTCAACATGCATCTCCGCAACGCAAAACGCTACTCATCCGACGACGGACCCTACGTCCCCCGTAAGCGCCGCCAACGCAGCACAAAAGAGGATCTTGAACGATCAAGACTCATCACCACTCAGAATGAGCAGTCACCACTCTTCACTCGCCTGCCCCGCGAATTGCGCGACATGATCTGGGAGCACGCCTTCGGTTCCGATGAAACTACCTTTCATTACCGTAACCTCGCCATCGATGCCAAAAACCGAAAGTACCCCTCGAGATATCATGATGACCACTACGTGGGCCTTCCCGAGTGGCTACTCTCGTGCAAAACGATTCTTGGGGAAGCGCTTGAGCTCTTTTACAGGACGCAGACATATGTTCCAACCACAGAATATGGAAGAACAAAACGAAGAGTAAGCCTAACACCAAAGGTTCGCCGCAGAGTTTTCAGTGCGAAATCATGTTATCGTGCACCACCGAACCCGGTGGACCGCAGCGAGTATAAAAACACACTTCTCTTCAACAACAGCATCAAGAACGTCGAAATGACATGGAAAATCACGTTGAATTGGCAAGGGGCTACAGGCGCCGCGAATGATCTGTGGTTTGCGCCGGACGAGGTCGACACCATGTTTGTGCGATACCTGCAGCGACTCCGACCAGATCTCAAAGACGTTAAATTCGTCTGTGAAGTGGCGTTCTTCTGCCAGGTGTGCAGTTATGTGCGTACGGAAGCGGACCCACATAATAAGAAGAGAAGGGAAAAGCGAAGAAAGAGCCTAGATGGCAAGATAGAAGGACTTCGTGGGTGTTGCAGAGGCCTGACTGTTGAACTTCAGAGTAACGTGTGCGAGCACTGCGAATTGGACAGTTCGGATCAACCTTTTGAGGAAAAAGCGACGGTGGAGGCGTGGGCAAAGGGCATTGTTGGTAGTGATGCGGAGGTGCACGAATGCGATGATACGAGAGACACGTCCTACTATGAGAAGGGAACAGTCTTGAGGACTATCAGGGTTTCCACGCAGAGATCATGAGTGCGCGGTATTGCAGCGTCTATACTTGGGGGCCGAAAACAGCGAAGAAAGCCAGGCAACCCACTGCCAATGCTAAATATCAGCAAACAAATCATCATACCCGTCCCGCCATCCCCCCTTTACTCCCCTCATCCGCCCCATCCCCCACACCCTGCTGTTCAGGCGCCCACGTCCCATCCTCCACACTCCTAACCAACTCATGAACCTCAAGCCTCAAATCCACAATCTCCCTCCCATTAACAAGATCATTCTCATCCGCCCTCTTCCCCGCCTCCTCCTCGTCCCTCGCAATCCCCGCCTTAACATGGCGATGCACCAACCTCTTCCGCGCAACATCAAAGTCCACATCCACGAACCAAAGCTCATCCATGAGCTTCGCAGCTTCGTTCCAAGGCGCCTTGTTCAAAGAACAGTAGTTACCTTCGAAAATGACGATGCGAACGGATGGCGCGATGGCGATGTCGTTCTCAACCGGGTCTTTGAGCGCGTGGTCGAAACTGGGGGCGTAGAGTGTGGAGCTCTCTGGGCATATGGGGTCTCGTAGTTTCTTTACCAGGCTGTAGAAGGAGTCGCCGTCGAATGTGAATGCCGCGCCTCTTCTCGCGTGGGCGCTGTCGGGATCGGGCATTGCGTCGAGTTGTTGGCGCGAGAGGTGGAAGCCGTCCATTGGTATGAAGGCTGAGAGTGGGTTGCTATTGGCGGTACCAGGGGATTGCTGTGCATGTTTCTCGTTGAGTTTGGTTGACACGATGGCTGCTAGTGTTGTTTTGCCTGGTCGTGGTCAGCGGGTTGGATGGGTTGGGGTTCGTGCGTGTACTGTACGTACCAGACCCTGGGATACCGGATACGGCGATTAGCAAGCGCTTTGATGCAGGGACATCTTGATATTGGTCTGCAGTCTCGTCAATGCGTGTCTCTTATTTCTAGCTCGTAATATCACATACCCCAGACCTTGTTTGCTAGGCGCTCCACTTGTTCTTCCATGTTGATGTAATGTTGCAATGGCTCCGAAAAACTGTCTTGTGTTGATAATCGCGTAAAAGTCTTTATATCTTACTATCCTGGAGTCGATCGGGATCGCCAGCATCCAAGGCGGGATGGCTGGCTTTTAGTTCGCTCATCCGCATTTGCAGATTGTGGGGGCTCGGCGGCGTGAGTGGACCGCTGACGTCGCGCGGGAGGTTGGCGGGTTGGAACTGCCAGTATCCTTGCTGTCTGTTCAGCCTTATGCTGTCTCTTGAGGCCAAGACTGGTGTCATGTTCCGTGATACATCCTTCTTAGGATTGCTCCGAGATGCACCCCAGAAAAGTTGAAGTTTCTTGGGCATGGGAGGTGACAAATGCCTTCCAAGGTTGGCATCTAGGTAATAAGATGGAAACGACCGGTCGCTGTATCTATCCCGAACCACATCGTAGGCGAATTATGGATGTAGATCTTTCGAACGATGAGTAAAGCGAATTGTGATTCTTATCGCGTACGACTGATTGAAGATGGAAGTAGAGTTCTTTTGGCCATGGCGTAGCGCGTCATCCAATCACAACGCAGCAGGAACCAAGGCCGCTCTGGCTGGGCAAATATGTCCGATATAGCCGGCGCATTGCTGTCGCTGTCAGCTAAGAGCTAAGTCAACGTAGCAGAGATATGCCCCGAAGCCTCGCGCCACCGCAGTCGTCCCGAAGAGCTTGAGAGCAATTGGTCAAACGCGTCGTAGAACGCGTCGCACCCGCCAGACGTCATCATGCTCCCGCCAGCTCTCCTCGCGCTCCTCTTCACGCTCCTCCCACACGCGTCCGCCGCCGACCACAGGGTACCGACTAGCAACGAATCGCTGCTATGGGGCCCTTATCGTCCGAATCTGTATCTGGGGCTGCGCGCCCGCATGCCCAAAAGTCTCATTGCGGGCGTCATGTGGGGGAAGCTGGAAGATGTAGAGACGAGTAAGTAGACATTTTGAGGATATGCGTACAGCGCTAACTAGTTCTATAGCACTCCGACATGACGTGAACCAGAGCGACGGCATGGCCAAATACGGCTGGATCTCATACGATACACGAGAAGGCGGCCGACAAATGATAGAAGACGTCGGAAACAAGATAAACCTCATAACCGAGTTCATAAAGCACTCTGAAGGCCAGAGCCAGGGGAATTGGGGGTTGCGCATCAAGGGCATGCCCAGGCCTGATGCGCCGAAAGATCTCACGACTACCGTGGTCTTCTACATTGGCATGGAGGCCATGGAAGCCTGTGCCGACTGCAAGCTCGAGGCGCGTCAACAGTTTGAGGCCGATGAGAAGACGGTTCAAGCTGTGAATATGAATATTGCGCATCCGAAGTTGGGTAATGCGGGTATTCATATCCCTGTGCCCATCAATGCAGATGAGAAACGTGAAATAGCGTATATCAAGACGCTGAACGTTACGGAAGATAGGCTGTGGCAGGGTAAATGTAAGTACAATGAATGCCATGATATCTTCAATCCCATCTACCTGTGCTTCGAACCTCCCCATCGTGTCATGAACAACCAGCTGATGAGCATGTGCAAGAAGCCACCTTCTTGGAGTCGCTGAAAGACCAAACGAAAGACCGCACCGAGCCAGGACCAAATGATATCGTACTGCGCAACGCTCCGGGCAACGGCAATTTACAGTTAGTGCAGATGGTGTGCCATGGGGAGTTCGAGGTCAGCACCACGATCACATGTTTAAACTGCGACTAACCTCAAGCAGTTCGACATCCTGTACTCGAGTGATACTGCGAAACGAGCCATGACCTGTGAGTACTCACCTCCGCCAATTATACGGAGAAGTGCATCCATGAACTACATATGCTAATGCCTTCCAGCCGCCGGTCTTACCACCAGTCTAGAGGAAACCCTCGCATCCTTCGCCAAGAACTTCGACGCAGTGTTCACCCCGAAAACTCCCTTCACAACCGTCATGCACCGCGCCTTCTCTCGGAATACTTTCTCCAATCTGCTAGGTGGACTAGGCTACTTTACTGGCACTGCAAAGGTCGACACGTCGAAGAAGGCCATATACGCTGAGACCACTGCAAACTTCTGGCAAAAGTCGGTCGATGCGAAGAAGCATACAACACCGGAGACGAAAGGCCCGTATGAGCTCCTCACTCATACGCCATCTCGTGCAGCATTTCCTAGAGGATTCCTGTGGGACGAGGGGTTCCATCTCTTTCTTGTCATTGAATGGGATGCTGATCTCGCTCTCGAGGTGATACGCGACTGGCTCTTAAACCTCATGGATGATGATGGCTGGATAGCAAGAGAGCAGATCCTAGGCGCGGAAGCCGAGGGTGCAACGCCTGCTGAGTTCGTCACCCAATTTCCACACATTGCGAATCCGCCAACGATGTTTCTGGTCATCTCAAAGTTCATCGATATGCTGAAAGGCACGACAAAATATCATGGTCACGACTCCCTGTATCTCGCCAAAGCAGAGACTGGGAAAGCTTTGGTGACGAAGACGTATCCGTACCTCAAGAAGCACTACGACTGGTTCCGGAGGTCACAATCGGGAGATGTGGAGGCCCATTCAATTCCATCGGCCAATTTGAATGAAGGCTACAGGTGGCGTGGTCGAACACCAGGAACGAACTTTGCCAGCGGGTTGGACGATTACCCTCGAGCGGAACCTCCCGACATCACGGAGTTGCATTTGGACGCCTTGTGCTGGGTGGGCGTCATGGCACGAACACTGGAACGCATCGCGTTCTTCACCGAAAACGCCCACGACGCGCTCACATACCAAAACCACATCCGCGGCGTCAAAACCAACATCGACACCATCCACTGGTCCAAAGAACCAAACACCTACTGCGACGCCGTAGTCCGCAACGACCTCCACACGCACGTCTGCCACAAAGGCTACATCTCCATCTTCCCTCTCCTCACCGGCTTCACCGACCCCTCACACCCACATCTCCCCGCCATGCTAACCCTCCTCCGCGACCCCTCCCACCTCTGGACCGACTTCGGCGTCCGCAGTCTAAGCCCCGAAGACGACGCCTACGGCAAAGACGACAACTACTGGCGCTCGCCCATCTGGATAAACATAAACTACCTCCTCCTCACCAACCTCCTCGACCTCGCCCAAATTCCCGGGCCCTCACAACAACGCTGCCGCGAGATCTACATCGAACTCCGCAGCAACATCGTCCACACCGTGTTCAATTCGTACCTCCAAACAGGCTATATCTGGGAGCAATACGACCCTGTTAAAGGTGCTGGACAGCGTACCCAGCACTTCACGGGCTGGTCGGCGTTGGTGGTTAAGGTCATGGCTATGCCTGATCTGGAGAGGGATGACGGTGTTACGGAGAAGGTGAAGGGGTATTATGAGGAGGCGAAGAAGCAGGCGGGCATGAATCAGAGGACGGAGGCGGGGAGTGTGGTGTTTGCGGTGGTGTTTATGGGGTTTGTGTATGTGACTCGGAGGAGGTTTGCGGGGACTTTGAGGGGGTTGCGGAGGGGGAAGTGAGGGGTTGGTGTGGGAGGAGAAGAATGATTACTGTGCTATTTATGTAGGTAGCCCATGTGCATGTTTGTGTTGGGTGGATGAGCCGGATACCATTTGGTGGACTGCGAATGTACGTGCGCACCTGGCTCCGGTGGCATGCTTGCTGATATGTCACGTGCTCGGAGATAAGCATTCCAAGGTTGTACTAAAAACTCCATTTCGCTATAACAATCTTCACAGCCATCCTGCCGCAGCTATCAACATCCCAAATGTCCTCCAGCATGTTCAGCTCTTCTTCTTCACCTCGCATACAAACCTGAAGTACGTCTCGTTGCTCTTGTCCTCCGACGAGAGATGTGTGCTCCCGCCAATCAAGTCGCTCGTCCACTCCTCAACCGACTGACATATCGCAGCGAAATGTTGTCTCTTGCTCTCGATGACAGGGTGGGTCCAGGCTTCGGGGTCACTTCATCTCGTGGAAATGTACGGTGCGCATAACGATACCCAGAGCATACTCGTAAATCTTGTCGCGCAGTTCCCGTGGCAGATGAGTCAATAGGGAAGGGTCGCTAACGGCCGCTGGTATATGTCGCAGTCTTTAGGCCCTGCAGTGGGTCGGATATGCTGCCTAGGTATTGTAAGACTTGTTCTTGCGCAGAAGCATGAAGAAGAAGAAGGAGTTGGAGATGTGAAATGGTGAGGAATGAATGTGATGTTCAGTAGACGGTGAAGCTCAATTATGCGAGTTCGACCAGCAGCACAGTTCTGTATCTATCTTCTCGATTTGCGCTGTCAGAGGTATGAGGCCGGGGCGAGCACTTTCCATCGCCGATGCAACCATGCCAGCGACCAATCAAGAACAATCGCATCACTAAGATTCGACTCAGGAGACGTCGCTGACTGACTGCGTGGGTAGTATCCCAGAAAGGAGGATAATGGGTATTTCCATTCGATTGAATACTCGAAGGTGCAGGCGTACATATCCGCATCACACCTGGGCATGATCACGACATTCACGGGTGAGTCCAGTTATAGATGCACACTTAGTTCAATGAAATGCTCGCTGAGTGACTACACACACCTCAAATTCACCAACTTGACCCACACTCATCACGATACGACTCCCAATCAGCGTCAATCTTGGTTTCCTCAACAAAACCTGACGCGAACGCTGAGCCCCAACGCCGCCCGATTTTCCTGAGCTGTGCTTGACATGTCTCGGAAATCTCCAACCTCTTCTCCTGGGGTACATACCACCGACTGGTGCGAGGCCATATGTGTGGAATGGCGTCGGGACGTGTGCCGATCCAGAGACTTGTCTCAACACCGACCTCCAACAGGTCGCCATACAGGTCCTCAATCTGCTCAGATACGTTGGGGCCGAAGAATTCGTTGGTGTTGCCCGGGAACCCATGGGGCAGACCGTATTCCCAATCACAGATAGCAAATCCTAGGTAGCGAAGTCGGGGGAGTGTATCGGGGTTTGAGCGTCTTGCCTCGATAAAACGACGGAGAATTCCATGTGGTGACCACATTCTATCTCTTTCCTCGAGCCAAAGCCCATGTACGATGAAGGTCTCGATAGTTGGGGGCAGGAAATCTTCGAGGTTGGACTCAAACCAATGTGGGGGAAGCATTCGCTTCGGGAGCGTAAGCGCTTTGAGTTTGGAAAAGAGTTGAGGGCGTATCGTGTAGCCATCCTCCCAGTCGTTTACCCAGAGGTACCAGAGTGCGATCTCTTCTAGACTTTCGCGCTTTCCCAATATCACCGGCCACAGCTCCTTCGTATCGATAGGAGGGATATGGTTCAGTACGTCGACCGCGGACAGACCAAAGGATAGCTTCTTTAATGGCCCGCAAGCTTCTATCAGTGATATGGTGTTGTAGTGCTTATCCTCAGTACCCGGTACTTCGGGCATGATCTCCAGGATATCAATATTCTTGAGACGCGCCCTCAAGGCCATTTCGAGCAAGGCCGATCGAGTTCTTCCCTTGGGGATGCGTACAAAGTTCCATAGCCTAAGGGTTTTTACAGATGGAGGTATGAATTGTAAATGGTTCAGGTCGGTCACCGTTTGCATGTTGATAACGAGTTCGGACAGATGATCGTAACGACCGTGTCGTAGTGGTAAGGCCCACCAAGGAGACTCCAAACGCTTCGTGTACGAGTACTCATCATCTCCAAGATTGACCCATTTGACATTTGGAAGAAGCCGAAGTATCAATGAGCCCATCGCAACAAAGTCGCGATCGTACTTGACGAGTTCAATGATGGACTGGAAGTAATCGAAAGCCAATTCTTCCGGTGACAGCTCAGATTGGAGTTGCGAAATTATCCGAGCGCGATCGCGAGCGTTCAATTTGCGTCTGATTTCTTCCGGAGGTTCCTCAAAGATGAACAGCGCCAAGGATTTGACCAAAGGCCTGCAATCCTTTGATTCAGTAACGGTTCGCAGAAATTGGCCTACATTCTCTTTCGTTATGAGAACACTTTCGTATAGCTGACGTGTAGCGTAAGGTCGAAATCTCTGGCAAGTGAGAGCGAGCGCGTAGAGATCTTCGCTATCGACGTAGCTAAAGCACTCCAAGTACGCGTCGGCATGCAAGTCAACGATCGTAACGTTGCACATTGTGGATTCAATAGAGTTGAGAGGTTGCTGGGGCAAAAGGACGAGTGATGAGATCAAAGTTGGAGATGCGTAATTGACATACGCTAGAAGACGCAGCTACAGGACATGTATTCTCAGAAAAGTCCTGACATGGATCACAACACGTCACTAGGGCTTCCAGGCCGACCGGAGTGATCGGCACTATCGGCTTCTCCATTATGCCGATTCAGGAGCGTGCGCTTCAGCGTTCCGCGGCAAGCTCATGTAAAACAAGGCAAGTTGTGACTTTGATGGCTTGGCAACAGATGAACTATCGGAGCAGGGACGGGGCAAAGTCACTGGCGTCACGAGCGTACGGCCCACGGCGCTTGATGCGATGGCTGTCAGAATCGTATTTAGTCAACCATCAGAGAGAGCAATCACTGTACAGGGTTCTCGTGACATTGTCATTCTACCAGATACGTATAGATCAAGACAGAGTTCGTTATCATGCGACCGCGATCAGGGTGCCACCATATCAGGAGTATTCCTGTTGTCATTCTGACCAAGTGCTACCATCTTGCGTCAAGGCGCGCTCAGCTATCACATGTGCAGACCACTTTGGTTTGGATGATCCTTGTGTACCTTCCACCTGCCCTAAGTCGCGCCAGGTCACACGACCCTGGTCACCGACAAGTCTCCTCACGCAGCTGTCTGCTACCTGCATCAGCTCCTCCAGCATCAGCTCATGTTTGAGTACCACAATCGTAATCTTCACCTCGCGGAACTTTCCATTCCACTCATCACCCCACCACTCCTTGAACCACACTTCGGGCTCACCTGGAAGCCAGTCGTCGGTCTTCCAACCCCGTTCCCAATGCAACGCGAGGGTCGTTTCGTGAAGTCGTAACCTGCTCAGCAGTCCGAGAAAGTGCTCAGTTCGTTCCTCATCGATAAAAAACATGCGCGACGCGCGCCAACCGGCGTCCATGAGATCGGCCAGCTTGACCCGAGAAATGATCTTGACACGACGTATCGAATTGGTATGAAATACAAGCGAGTTCGATGGCACCGGCTGGTCCAACTGGAGGCGCGGTACCCTTTCAGCAGCTTGGAATACCCAGTCTCGTTTGATCATATTGGATACGTCCGAACAGATGAGCTTGCAAGTTCTGATCCAGGTAGGCAATCCTCTCGATTGGTTGGCATCGTCGTGATGGTCTTGAGTATGTTCGTAGGGCCCACGAATATAGGGAAGGATAGCGTCATCGGGATCGTGCCATGGATAGGTCCTGGGGCTAGCGACGACGTAAATTTCATCAACACGAAACTTGAAATACGTAGTTGCGAGAACATCAGCGTAAATCTTGTCTCGTATCTCACGAGGGAGTCGAGAGAAGCCGGTTCCTTCCTGTACAGAGTTAGTCGAGTTCAGAACCATGATCAGAAGGGCAGAGAGCTTCGCTACCTACATTCGCCAGATCAAGCGGGCCGGAAGGTTGTCGACGTCTCCCAGGTGAAGGACTGTGCCGTATCATCGTCCAGGGGCAAGTTGCGTGTCGACCAGTGACGTGAATAGAGTCTGTATAAGCAGTGGGAGGACTGTAGTTGAGAAGGGAGTATTGACATCTGGTGAATGGGGATGGCCGCTGACCCCTAGAATGACTGCCTGTGTGACGTAGTGGGTTGTCTCACCTTGAAAGGGCCTTATGGCGAGTTGGACATCGTCTGATCACTATCTCGGCTCGTGTCAGACCCTCAAGATTGATCCTTACGGCACAGCATTCCCCAGAAGCAGCTTCCGCCTTGGCTGATGCTGCCGACCAGTATCGCAGGCTCAGGAAAAGGAGCAGCGGTGAGCACGTGCAGAAGCGGATGATACTACCCGCATGGACGTAAGGGCTCTGAGATTTCTCGCTCCTGCGCACGGATTTGCACTGATCATTGCTGGCAGCATGACTAGGAACTCCGTCCGAGAGCGCGCTGGAAACCAAAGCTCTTGTGACACGAGGGAAAGCCCGCCTGAAGAAGTGATTGTAGGATCTCGGCTTTGCCTCTGATTTGTACATCTTGGATAGTCGGTCTCGTGTTAACATGGGGTGAATTGGACGTAAACAGCTTGTGATGTTGTACGCAGAGGTTTGGTCCGTAGACACCTGGGCATTGCGAAAACGCTCACGTGCTGGGCGGCTTGCGCGATGTGCAGTCATGGCGCCCCTGAGCGTCACGATCTACGCCACCTAATACATTGACTCAGTTCTCTCTGATATCATCATTCCAGGCGTATCTCGACGCGGGTTGTTTCCAAGGTTCTGTTGTTATTGTGAGGCTCACTGCGCTAGTCGCGAACGGGATCTCATGACCGAGAGCCCCACGCCTGGGCACAGGCTAAGAGGTGTTGCGCTAAGTTCCGAGTCGTCAACCCACGGAACGGGCGAACATGCTGAGTCGGCACGGCGGGAGCTCAACCTGATGCGCTTCATGTGTCAGAGCTAAACTCGGGCCAGGTTCTCCACACCATATGCCGACGCCGACCACCTGGGCAAAGCTAGTACCTACACTTAGTGGGGAACGCCTTGTTGCACGCACTATCGCGCATTAGTCTCAAGGCGAGAAGTTAGTTTCTATTACAGGAAGTCGCTTTCGTACCTGATTTCTGCCATCATGGAAGCTGGAGGTGTTGGAGATAACCGCGAGCAAGATGACGAAGACACCCAGTGACGAAATGCCTCGTAGATCATCGAGACAAATGACGTCGCGTTCGGCTCACCCGTAACGGGTTCACAGGTGTTAGTCCCTGCCCGTGTAGCTACGTAGCAGCAGGCGGAGGTGAAGAAATACCCGGGTTCGCTCCCAGGTTGCGAATAGCAAAAATCTGCACTGCACTTCCATTCGCAACTGTCAAACTTGAATTACTACCTTGCACACTGTCAGAATGAACCCTTCGAAGAAACTCAAGACCAATGCTGGCCCTTCCACCCAGGCGCCATCTGCTACGGGCACTACTGCAGTACCAGGTACATCTGCATCTGGTGATCAACTGGGGCCGACTTCAGATCGACCATCCAATTCGACAGCGCCCCAGCTGCATCCTGTTCGCGAAACGAACTCGCCATACGCTGGACCACACTATCCTGATTGCGATGCAGAGGCCAAGGGCGCTTCCGAATGTAAGTACATACAGCAAATGAGATGATAAAGAGGCTGACTTATCAGGCGGCTGCACTGCGAGGCTGAAGAGCCAACTAGAGAAGAAAGATTCATCCATCGCGATCGCCATGAGCCACGGCGTCAAGCGACCAGCTCCCGAGAGCGTCGGCTCCGATACAGCTTCTGCTCCCGAGAGCGTCGCCACGGATACAACTTCTGCTCCAGAGAGCGTCGCCACGGATACGGCACCAACCTCGCTTCCCTCAAACCAGCAAAACACCAACAATACCAACCTGTTCCACAACGGTACTCCTGTGTCCCAACTCAAACATTCTTCACCGAGTGGAGCTGGTCAAACACCCAAGCATTGGGTGCTATGGGTAGCTCGGCGGAAAGGCATCATGTTTGGCTGCTACTGGGACATGGAGCAGTTTACCAGGCTCTTCTCTAAAGCGAGGTACAAAAGTTTCCCTGACGAGGCGGCGGCTCAAAAGTTCTTTCAGCAAGTGATTCCTAAGACACCCATACCCCCGACTAGACATGTCGCTCCTGGTGAAGAGATCATCTCGGACGAGGAGTTTCTCGCCACAAGCACACTGCATCAAGATGGAAATGTACAGAGCTCTGCGGCCTCTGCCGCAGTTCACGCCCCCACGGCCCCCTCTGTACCCCAAAGCACCGCCGCTCCTACCTCTACAACATCCACAACTCCTCCCACTGGAGCTTCGACTACTCCAGCTCCAGTTGCCAGCGCACCAACTGCCGACGCACCAGCTGCCAATGCTCCAACAACTACGGCCCCGGCTACTGCTACGACCACTACTGTACCTGCTACGGCTCCAACTGCTGCGGCTCCGACGGCTCCAGCTTCTGTCACCAGTACTGCGACCGCTACGGCCCCTCATGTACCCGACCAGCATGTTCATGCACCCGCTGAACCTTCCACCGATCCTCCTGTCGGCCAGCTAGTGAAGAACCTAAAGCAGTCCATTCGGAAGCCGCTGTCGTCCGAGGCCAAACAGCAAGTATTAGAACAGATCGCGGCAGTTCTAGCATAACCTTTCATAGTACAGCGTGCTTTTGACCTTACTGTTTGTTTTCTGTGTTGATGGGGCTGAATGCAAGGGTGGGTGGGCTGTCAGGTTGAAGTGGGCGGCTGTGGGCGAGAGGTTGCATTCCTGCAGGGTTGGCGCATGTTGTTTTTACATCTATCTATATGAGAAATATATTCAGTAACCATTACACGAATGAGACGCTGCTCTGCTTTGCCATATCTGATATCTTGTGACTCCTTAAATTACGGTATAGGTACTTAGGTACCGTGGTGTCCTGGTTGCTGAGTTGGGATTTTACTGAGTTCCATGGTTGCGATATTGAAGCCATGGCTTACTTTGACACGTGTAGGTACCTCCAAAGTTGGGTACTAACGTGGCGTCACGCATCCTGTCATGCATAGGTGCGTTCGCGGAGAGCTTGCAGCAGCTACACTCAAGTCTGTCTCAGTATCCACGATCTGCTATATCGTTTGTAGCTGGATATTGCGTTGCGTGCTTCCTGATACATGATGGGCAAAGAATGTACTTGGGCGACACCTGTGGACGTAGTTAGAAGTGCTCGGATGTACGCACCGCCTATCGATAACGATGTGGCGGTGCTGAGTGGCGTAAGTTGAACCCCGCGTTGCCTAGCCCTTCGTGTACTCCTCCTTATTCGCGCGCTCGTCTCATGATGATGCGATCACCACCCGAATACCGTCATCTACTGTGAGCGACTAGGCTGTTCATCGCTAGCCAATGTCTGAGCTATATCATGATGTTGCTACGCTCTCTCCGAGATCTAAAGCCCTCATAGTGGCAGAGCCACACCTCCTGCGGCGACGGAGATAACCAACTCTATCAAGAGCAAAAGATGGGAGCGCCGGCACAGCATCATACTCAGAAGCATAAGTCACTGCGTCTGTTGCCATGATCAGGCGTTATGTAATTGGGGCTCTTGCGTA